AATCACAGAAGAGTCACCCTGTCTGAAACCTCGTACCAATTCTGACTGCGCTTGTGGTGTTTTCTAGCGTCAGCTTACATAGCAGAATAAGTTTTGCGAAGATACCAAATTCAGACATAAAGGCGTAAAGGCAACTCCTTTTCGTGCTGTCGAAGGTGGCCTTCGACAAAGAGGTGGTGCGTGTCACGGGTCTGTTCCAAGATTTGGCGCATGGTGAATATATGGTCAATGGTTGACTTGCCAGGTTGGAAGCCACACTGGTCCAATCACTTTGTTGACGGTTTCAGTATTTCACACAATACGCTCGACAGGACCTCATAGGCCATATTAAGGAGCCTTATCCCAAGGTAATTTGGCGCAGACTGTCACCTTTTTCATGTATTGGGCAGAGCACTCTAAAATTTCAATCGTCGCGCATGCATATTCTGCCAAGTAGCTGATGCTTGCACCTTGTCGGCTCTTCACCGCCATGTTATAACAGTTCTGCCGCTGGGCCGTCAGCTCCCACCGCTTTGTTGTTTTTTAAGCGGACAATTGCTATTCGAACTTCGTCATGGTCAGGTAATGGAATTTTCCAGATTCTCAGTTTTTCCTGCTATGCAGTAGGTCGGAGAAATATTCCCTCTATATACTCTGAGCATCGCTGGCTATACAACCTCTTTGTGTCCTACAAGAGTCTGCACGGGTCTTGAGACCTTCCGTAAGTCGTCGTTTCTTTTTATAGAATTTTCGAGTATAACCCTCGTTGGCCAGTTTCTCAAGCTCACACTCACGCATCTCGGCCTCATTCTTTTTTGTGTGTAGATGCGTCTCGTTTCCCTCTTCATCTCTGGGTACCCATCCCGCACATATCTGTTTTCTCTCCACTGCAACACTGTGTGCAGTTGTACGTAAAGAGCCTGAAATGCCGTCCCACAGGTCCCTTACACCGATTTGCTGATGAGTGCTCTCAGAGAGCAGGACTGCAAGTCGAGTAGAAAATCGTTCGGCAGTCTGTTGTGATTACAGCTGTTCAACGTCGAACTTTCCTTGTGTTTGTTGACGGGAGTTCTTCGATACACAGAGGTGCATGCGCATCTTCGCGGCAACAAGATAGTAGTCCGAGTCGATGTTGGGCCCACGGAGTTTACACACGTCAGAAACACTGGGTATATGTCCTCCGTGTCTCACAACATGATCGATCTGGTTTTGTGTTTTTCAATCAGGGAACATCCAAGTAGCTTGATGTATTTTTTAGTGCTGGAATCTAGTACTGCCGGCAACCATATTTCGGGACCCGGCGAATTCGATCAGCCTCAACCCATTAGGCGATGTTTCGTAGTGGAGTATGAATTGTCCAACAGTCGTACCAAATATACCTTCTTTGCCCACCCTGGCATTAACGTCGCCAAGCACGATTTTCACTTTGTATCGGGGGCAGCGCTCGTAAGTATGCTCTATGCGCTCATAAAAGGCTTCTTTGGCCAAATCGTCCTTCTCTTCTATCGGGGCGTGGGCGCAAATCAGCGATATGTTGAAAAATTTCGCTTTGATGCGAATTGTGGCGATACGTTCATCCACTGGGGTGAATGCCAGTACTCGACGACGGAGTCTCTCTCCCACAACAAATCCGCGACCACACCCCATTACACCCCGTAATGCTTTACACAATTTTTTTTGCCCAAAATTATATAAATCGCAATAAAAACTACTTTGTTCTATCTGAAATACCAAAAGTGCGTTTTAGAATATTATTTTTCGCCAACAACTGGTCACTCGAACTTATGTAAAATAAACAATAGGAACAACGGGTTTTATACTCTGCTTGCAGTGTTGATTGTGAGTTAATAGCTCCAATTGCTTACAGCTAACACTTCCATAATAAATGTATTTGAATACAAATGTATATATATATGTGGTTATACATATATAAATACACGTGGAATCACACATGCATGCAATTACAGTGAGCATAGAACCCCACTATGCATTGTTTTTATTGCACCATGCATGTGCGCCACTTGTTATGCAGTAAAAATGTTTAAGGAAATCATAAAAATGCGGATGAAGTTAGCAGTGTAGTGTAGCATACAACTATACACAAACGTTACAAAAATAATACAATTGCACACATAAAAGTGTTAGGAGGTGGTATGGAAGATACTTCTAAATAACGCAAACGTTTATAGTGGTTACATATGCATGTATGTATGTATGCATGTTAGGTGGAAATCAACATTTGATGCTAATGTATAGTCGCCACTGCCACTTCGTTCAACTTCAATTCAATCGTAACGCAATCTTGGACATACATATACATTTGTGTAGACTAGTATATTTTATTATTATTTTACTTCTCTTCTTTTTTGTTTTGTTTGCAACAATTTTATGATTTTATTTTCATTTTTATTTCAACAACTTAATTTTTTGTCTGCACTATATCCTTTTCCTGCTATTCCCTAGCCGAATAATTGTTTTGTGTTTTTCTCTATATTCCTGCCTTTGTGTGGGTGTGCGCAAAAACTTTTACATTACGTTTGATACTATTGCAGCTGCAATACGCCTTAAAGTAAGCAACAATAAAAATTGTAACAAGTTAACGGGGATTTGTTTATGACTTTTTACTTTAGTTCCTTAACCGTTTCATTGTCTTTAGATATAGGGCGCAATAGTCTATGCAAAATATTCATATTAACAAAAATGTATGCAATATGTTTAGTTCGTCAAATAAACGCTTAAATAAATGTATTTAATTTGTAAAATCGGCGCAGACTATTATGATGGTAGTCTGATATCTAGATAAGATAACCTTATAGCAATGATTTTATAAATTATTTCGTTATTCATTTAGTTTTTTATTTGCCTTTATTTAAATATTTTTATTTTATTTATTTTTTATATTTTGATTAATTTTATTAAACCTTTTTATTTTAAATAGTTTCATTTTCTATTAAGTTATTTTATTTTACATCATTTCACTTTATGCTGCTATACCTTCTATTTTTAATATTTCAATTTTATTTTGTTATTTATTTAATTTTTTTAGTATTATTAAATTTAGTGAATAAAAATTATTAACTTTTTTAACTAAATTCATATTTTTTTCTATTTCATATTATTTAAGTTTACTTCAATTTAATTAATTTAAATTTGTTTTATTTTTATATTATATTGTTATTATATTTCATTCTTATTAATCAATTTACTTTAAATATATTTTATTTTCTTTTACTTCATTTCATTTCATTTTATTTAATTTTTTTATTATAATTGTTTTTAGTTAATTGATCTTGCACTTTTGTTTATTTACAGTTTCACTATATTCTATTTTATTTTGTTTCTTTTTTCATATGCTTTAAATTATTTTATTTATTTTATTTTGTTTTGTTTAGTTTTATTTTAATTGTTCAATTTTAATTTAGTTAAATTTATTTTATTTTTATTTTTTTCGTTACTTTAATAAAGTTTATTTTATTTAGTTTTATTGGGCTTTTGTATTATATATTGTTTTATTTATGTTTTTTTTTTTATTATAATTTTTTTCTTTTATTTTTTTCAAGTTAAGTAAAATTTTGCATTTTTTATGGAGTTGTTTCAGACCATTTCTATTTTCGAAAATAGTGAAAAAATTACAATAACAGTTTTGTACGGTTGAAGTTAATTATCTTTTCCTTTCCTATATATAACAATTTTATTTCCATTTTTTTTATTTAGTTATAATTTATCTTATTTTACTAGTTTTAATTTAATATTTTACTTTATTTCTTAAATTATTTAATAATATTCTATTTAGGTTAATTTATCTAAATTTTATTTTATTTGATTTCTTTTCCTTTTATTTAAGGGGACCTGGTTTAGAGGGTCAAAAAAAATCGATTTTTTGAAACTTATCTTATTCAATTAGAAATATATTCAAAAATATTTCCACAAAATTTGAGAGTCAAATTCCTAATCGTTCCGCATAAATGGCCACTGAGAGACAATGAGCTCAGGAGACTGAAAAGCGTGCGCTTATACTTTGAAGGCGATTTTCTCAAAACAGTAATTTTCTGTTTTGTGCACACAATTAAAAAAGTTGTTATTGTCGCATTTTCATAATTGATACCTTTTTTACAGCTTATAGTGTGTGTGCTTCTATGTGAACCTAAATAATCACAATAAAAAAATTATTTTATTAACTTTTTTCAATAAATTGTCTTAAAATTTCTTCAGAAAAACGCAAAACTTTTTATAAACAGTCATAAAATAAATCATTTCATACATTTCTTCGAATATTTTAGATTCACATAGAACAGCAACTCCTAAGCTACCAAAAAAGTTTTCGTTTTTATGTTTCAGATGAAAACTACGATCGCTATCGTGTTCACAAAATAGACTCTTCGAGCGAGAAGTGCCACAAACAAATATGAATTGTTATTGCTTAACAGTATCAAAATAAAGTGAAAGTAAATTTTTTTGCAAGATTTTTGTATCTATGACCTATTTCAAAAGTACTTGAAACATTTCATACGTAAGGCAACCTAAAACACTGTGCCGAATATCTTGCAATTTTCGGCGTTCTAAACCAGGTCCCCCCTTAATTTCATTTTATTTTATATTTGTTTATATTAATTTAATTTGTATTTAATTTAATCCTTCTTTGTTCAATTTTTCTTTACGATTTTTTCATTTAATTTAATTAATTTTTACTTTTCTTAATATATCCCCATTTAATAATTATTATTTTATTTTGTTTATTAATTAATTTAGTTAAACTTTTTCTTCGCTTTTTTTTATTTTATTATAGTTTATTTATTTTATTTTGTTATAATTTATTTTTCTATTTTACTTATTTATTTTATTTCGTTTTCTTTAATTCAATTTTAATTAATTTTATTATTAATAATTATTTTATTTAAATTATTAATTTTTTTTGTTACTAGCTTAGCTATCCTTTTCTAAAAAAAGAATAAAGCTGTATCAGATCAGGTATAAGGTGAACTTTCTTTAATTTTCAATAAAAAAATAAAGGTAATACTTACCTAAAATATTACCAAATCATTTGAAAGTGCTGCCGTTAAAATACCCTCAGTTAAATTAGGCACTCTGAAATAAATATCAAAAAGTTAGTAAATAAAAGTACATTAGGAAAAATTCTGTTTCAAAATACATGTTATAATATAAGAATATATATAAGTAACTATATACAATATATTGTGTATATATATAGAGAGAGATACGCGTTCGCTGGACATACTTCTTACAATTTATAATACATAAGGTTTAAGATTAAATAATTATTTCGTTTCTTCATATTATAATACACTTATGTAAAAATATTTTTACTGCTTTTTCAGTTACACTTCTCTACTTGACGGTGCTTAGTTCAACTTTTCTTTGCATTCTCTATGCAATCGACACAAAAAGTTTGTCAAAAAAACTGGGCAGGAAACTTACGGCAATCAAGAGCGAAAAATAAAATATTTACACCAAGCTAAATGGCTGCGAACAACAAGTTGAACATAATTGAGCTTAAATTTGAGGTTGAAATAATAAAGCTAATTAAAGAGAGCAGAGAAAACTTCCACGGAGATGTCTTACACCAACGAAATAAGTCGGAAGTAAAATTTAAAGCTGTAAAATTTTAAATTAAATGTAACAAAAAACTTATAAATCTATTTTTTATTTATGATTAATTAAACTAAAAAAAATATAAATCTAAATATTAAACAAGTAAAAAAACTATTTCAAAAATTAAATGAGACATAATAAAATAATTTAAAATAAAAAACAATAGAATAAACCAAAATAAACTTTATTTAAACAATAAAGTGACGCAAAACAAAATGAATACTAAAAATATATTAATAAAAAAAAAAATAAATCGAATTAAAAAAAATAATAATAATATAAAATAGTATAAAATATAATGCAATAAAACTAATAAAGTTCAAAAAATTCAAATAGTATAAACAACTAATAAAACAAAAAGGGTTATAAATAAAAAAATATATATTAAAAAATAAAAAAAAAATCAAATTAAAAAAATATGGCAATAGTAAAAAAAGCGCAAAGTCAAATTAAATAAACTAACAAAATTTTATGTTACTAATACCGAAACAAAAAATAATAAGATGAAAAATAAATAATTAAGTTCTATGAAATTAAAAAGAAGTACTGTGAAAAGCAAAGTAAGATAAAACAATATAAAATAAAATCGTTTTATTAAAATACTATGAATATATAAATAATAGATAAAAAACTATAACAAATTTAAATATTAAAAAAAAGAAGAAAATAAAGCTAAATCATAAAAATTAAAATAGAAACTTAAAAATTTAGTAAAAAGTAAATTAAATAAAAATATTTATAAAAAAAAAATTAAAACTAAACATTAATATAATATAATAAAATTATATTTAGAAATAAATTAAACAAAAAATCAACTGAAAAATGAACTTTGTATTTAACTTAAAAAAAAGACATTAAATAAATAATTGTAATAATTAAATAAATTTAAAATAGAAAGTTACTAATGTGAAAGTAGATTCCTGCAATAATAATTAATATAAAAAGAAATATTAAAAATTAGAATAATTAATAAATTAAACAAAAAAAATTTACTAAGATAAAATAAAACATTTTAAATAATTCACAATTAAATTATATCAAAGTGAAACAAAAAATTAACGAGTTAATGCAAATTTTTATGTAACCAATTAAAATAAAAATTTCAATAAATTAGAATTAAACTATTATTAAAGTAAGAAAGTATTTCTTTTTAATCACAAAATGTTTACAATTGTTTAGGAAATTTTTTAATATTTTTATATGCTAAGTTATGCATACGTGTATATTGAAAGTGGCTCAGTATGGTTGTGATTATGTAAGTTACTTACTTTATAGATAAAAAAATGTAAAAAAAAATTATAAAAGAACTATTTTTGAAACCTAATTTTGAGTGAGATGTGTATGTAATTCACTTACAATAAAATAAACTAATAAAATAAAACAAATCAGATAATTTTTACTATCTTAAAAGATTCGTTTAATAGCATGGAAACTGGGGAAACCAAAGTAAGTATCACAATATAATATATTATCTAAATATATAATTTTTCATTTAGAATGCAAAAATTTTGGAATATTTACTTTTAATAAACTTAATAAATAGCCGCGCCTGGCTTTTATTGTTCAACTTTTCAAATATTATAATTAAACACATTTGTGCCACATCGTAGTAAATTAAGACAATATTATTATGGGAGACGCGTCTTAGTATATATCTACAATTTTATGTAATAAACAATGTGTGATTGTATTCATGTGACACGCGAAGCACACATATAACCGTTCGTTCTATGTATGTATATGTATAAACTTGTTGAAATTCTTTACCGAGGATAATGTGCCTAAAAGAGTTTAATACCACAGCTGCAGGAGAATATATTTTTAGAAACTTTTTTACGACTTTTAACTGCTACACGCATTATTGTCAAGTGTCAAGTATATAGAATATAACATAAATACATACATATGATTCTGAATCACATCTTGAATTTATGTTTATTTTAGACAAAAAATTCTATGCGGGTTTTTTATATTAGGAGAATTTAAATATGCAGATGTAATTGAAAGTAAATAAAATGAAATATAACTTTAATACATATATATATGTATACAAATTTTTATTTGCTCAATGTAGTAAAGATTGCATTACTTCTTTTTTAGTAGATTTTTATAATAATTATTTCGAGTGCAATGCCCAAGTAGGCAGATGAAACAATGATCTGATGAGGATATTAGAGTTTTAAATATCCGTATCACAAGCAAAACGAATAACTCAAAATTTGTTTGCACAAGCAAATATTAAACAGAATATTTTTTTTTTGTTTTTTTTTTTTTTTTTTTTTTTTTTTTTTTTTTGTCTGTTTCTTTGATACCCTTTAACTTGGGTGAATTGGTCGAGTTACCATTAGACCACTAAATGAGGTTAACTTCAAAGATTTTTCAAAATACGGATCAAACATTTTACCTAATCTAGGTACTCTTCAGATATTTTCCACATACCACAACAGTAGCATATTTAAACAAAACACAAAATATTTTACAAACCAGAAAAAATTTTATTAATATCTATGGTGAGAAAAAGCTTTTTTTATTATTTCGGTACATCAACATGTCGGAAGATATATGATAAAACAAAAAAAATGGAGCCCATCTAATTTCACTCTCAACGAAATCAGTGATGTCGCACGGGACATAGAAATATATAGTGATCTATAGCAATTACATATAATCGCATAAGCTTTTACTTAGACTGAAAGCTGAGAAAATGAGTTTCCAGAGCACACTTTTGGACACGGTTAGATCCAATGTGATTTCTTTCCAAAATTTTTCGTTAAAAAAAATAATAAAAATAAAAATAAATAACAAACGATACTTTTCATAAGCCTAACAAACTTTTTATATCACATCTTAAGACTAAATATTAATGATTTTTACTGAAAAAATCGGTTGCTATTGTGCTGTATGATCTAGTCAACTGATCCAATCGGTTCCGACAAATGATCAGTACATTATAAAAATGAAACCGAATACTAAGTTTGGTTCAAACAGGCCGACGGACATGCAGACAGAAGGAGTTGGCTTAATCAACTTAACTCATCTCGTCTATCGGTGTTAAATTTGCCTACTTGAGCTACTTCTGGCCTATCCTGCTATCTACTTGTGAAATTTGGTAGTTAGTAGATTTTTTTTTAAATATCATGAAAACAACTGGGAAACGGACTAGGAATGGATCTATCAAAAAAAAAAAAAAAAGATTATGTGCCTATAGGTCGATGTACTGGAAAATTCTGACATACTCATATGTACAATAGGTAGCTGTTTGCCTAAGATAACGTATGGACCATATTTTTTTCGACGATTTCAGCTGTAATTGATTTACTACTGTGGGCAAAAAGCAAGGTTAATTTGTTTGTAAAATTAAAGATCTTAATTTATTCTTCTACATCGATTTCGTCGCCTTTAAAATAGGCCACTGCCGATGCCATGTACTTATGCCAATTTCCAATTACCGAAGCATGTCAAATAGTCAGGTTCTGGTATGGCCTTTCGAGAGCTCGACGATTCATGTTTGAACCCCTCAATCGACACAAATCCGTGGTCTCTTGAGTTTTTGGTAGAGCCAGAAGTCACATGGTGCTAAGTACGACGAATACGGTGGTTGGGAAACGACATTCGTGAAATTTTTAGCGAAATGGTCACGAAGATTGAGAGCTTAAATAGTATCCCTTATTTACCGTTTCATCAACCGAAAATTCGGTACGCAAATAAAATTTTATCGCACCTCTAAGCTCAATTAAATCAGACATTATAAAAATCGACGAAGGCACTTTTAGCCGTTTCGTAAACACCAGCGTAACTAAAATACCAATGATGACATTGACATGAAATTTGCGTAGATGTCAATAACAGTGTTGCTACTAACATTAAAAATAGAAACTAACCTGGAATATTAAGAATTCAGCTTACTTTTTGTCTACAGTAACAATCCAGAAAATTGTGTTTATTTTTCGAATTACTTGAAGTTTGGTACTTTCGTTTCGTCTAGATTATCATAAACTACACCCTCTTTACATTGCAACTAAGAATGCAATGGTCGAACAAGATCCGTCCAGATCATCATTAAATTATCAAAAATATATTAATACATGAATTTGACCTAGAAACAGAAGACCGAAAAATATTTTTGGAGTTTCACTGTTCAGTGATTACAGCAAAATTGGACTTCTGATGGTTGTTTCCACAGACCCTATGCGACTTGATCAGGGAAACCTTTAAAAAGCTATAATCTTGGTCTACCAGTCATTGCATCTGCGCCAACTCGAACAAAGTAAAAATATTACTTTTTACAAGGAGATATAAGATCCGCGCAAGCAACCAACCGGCATATACACGGAGGGGTCAAGGCTGGAGGGGAAAATAGGCATGTTCTCAGGAAACCCTTCTATGGAACATACTTACAGGCAACCTAACCCTTGCAGTTTCAGATATTTGTCATTATGGGAGCAGCAAAGCAAAGCGAAGAGAACTTTAAATGG